TGAAAAATAAGCCAAGCTGACTCCTGGGTTCTATATCAAATTGTTCATGCCGGTATGTAAAGGGTTAAGGCACTGAATTGTTTTAGATCTAATATGAACAGTACAATCAGTTAATAAAAATGGAGCACGTTTTTTGGAAGTACAAACCTAATTATACAATCAAATTAACAAAAGACATCATGTATTCTGTGCAGAATCTTTGCAAAGTAGTTTCTGACCGGCAATACCCAGCAAAACCCCTAAGGGGCCAAAACCATTTCAGCTGCTGGTGTATGGGATTCTGCTTTATTTATCCAATGAGGCATGTTGTTAAGCTCATGGTGAATAAAAAGGGAAAATATGAGCAAGTCTGCAAAGTTCTACAAATAAATTTTTTTTAAAGGCAATCTAAAGGCAAAGATTAATATGAGAAGAGCCATACAAATTAATATAGGCCAATCCCCAGAGTGGATAATGAGGGGGGAGCATGACTGCTGCCCAGAGAGGCTGGCATGGCAACAAGGGATACCATGTTTGAGATGCACCTGGACACTGGGAAAAGACTTATCAGACCACTGGAGAGCACGCTGAGGGAACTTGGCAGTGCTGTTTCTGGTCATCCAGCAAAGAAAGACAGCAGGTAATTTCATATCTATCATGGCTCAAGCCCCAGACATGTCCAGAGAGGCCCTGCTTACCTTATTTCAGGCCTTCCAGAGGACCCATGGAGCACAGTCCTATGCTGCGCTGCTGCACCGCGTCCACAATGCACAGGACACTCAGGAGGGGTCAGTGCAGACCAGGGGATGTCGGAACCGCCACTCCAGTCCAAAGTCAAGATTGTCCCCCAGCCCGGTTCGGAGATCCAGGGCGGCGCCAGCATCTGCAGATAGTCCGGGGCTGAGTAAGACTGGCTCCCTGGGGCAGAATCCAGGAATTGGGAGAAGGAGGAGTGGGAGCCAAAGCGGCAGGCGTCGAATGGTCCGGTCGGGGCCTGGGAGGCAATATGATGGGTCCCAAGATGGCGCCGCTAGGGAGGTGAGGTCCCGCAGTCCTTAACCTTCTTTTCCGGCATCGGCGGAAGTAAAGTCAGGGCATGTGGCAGCACGCCGGAAAGAGGCAGAGCGCCGCAACCTATGTGGCGCGTACGTGACGCCTGCGCATCGTGGAACGCAGACGTCAGAGGCCACTGAAGAACCCGGAAGTCTGGAGGCGAACGGCAGCGGAGATTCCGGGGAAGAACAGGAACTCACCGGTGCCGGAATAGAGGTTACTCTCCACACTCCTTTCGGATTGGTGCAGCGACGCAGGCGCGGCAAGTAGGGCTGTCCGATGCTGCAATTCAGTGCATGGGTCAGTGGGAATCCCGCAGATTTCAGTTGTATATTCGTCGTCACCTGTTGTAGGGCTTTGGTGGGTTATGCTGTGTTGTCTTCTCTCTACAAGTTGTCCCCGTTATGTTTGGATCATCGGTCACTCCTTTATTTATTGGGCGGCTAGGTGAGCAGAACAGAGACCGTACAGCCAGAATCTAAGGCTCCCGCACAAGCAGGTTAGGGTACGATGGCGGTGGATAAGGCTTTTGGGTTGGCACCAAGTGTTGTGTTGCACTCCGTCGCTTCGTGACCGGGCCAGTGGTTCTGTTGATCCATGCCGTGGGGAATGACTTGAGACGGGGATTTGCGGTAGATTTAATTTATGCGTGCAAACCTGATTTGGCTTGGTGTATGGTGCTGTTCAGTGATGTCACGCTGTTGTGGTCCAAAGTCATTCCTCATCCGGTTTGGGGGGTTCTGCCACATGCAAAAGCGATGGAGTGCAGTAGGCGGAGGTTCAACATGCCGATTTCACGTTTTGTGCGGAGGCTGGGTGGAGTTGTGGCTCGTCATGTGGAGCTGGAAGGGAACAACGTAAACTTGACGAGGACAGATGGGGTCCACCTGAATGAAATCGGGTTGGATATTTTCAATTTGGGATTGCAGTCAGCCATTGAACAGGCACTGGCCTCGGGGATAGGATAGGGGAGAGGCTGTGGTGGCGGTTTGTCCTTCGCCAGCAAGTGGAACTGAGAACATTGCCCGGATGGGCTTGGGGAGTCGCAGCCTGGTCCATAAAGTTGTGATTAGCTGTCTGCTGGGAATACCAGCAGCTGACAGTTGTTTATGTTTTGCTGGCTTGTTAATAAAAGCTGGGGCCGTTGCACTTACCCACAAAGTTGGATGTCTGTGAGTTATTGGGGGGAAGGGTAACGGAGGGGAAAAAAGGGAGAGGGTCAGCAGTCATATAAGTATTAACAGTATCTATGTTTTTGAATATAACACTTTTAATCGTATTTCACATTAGCTGTGCATTAATAAAATTTCCTTTGGTTTACGGAAGAGGTACATACACCCTTTGGTTGTCAGCTGACATCTTTGAGCTAATGTTCTGAAAAGGTACTGATTATGAAAATGTAACTTTTTTTTAATGTGGAGCATATATTAAAGGGGCACTATGGTCAACAAAACAATTTTAGCTCAATGAAGCAGTTTTAGTTTATAGATTGAGCTCCTGAGGTCTCGCTGTTCAATTCTCTGCCATTTAGGAGTTAAATCACATTCTTTCTGATTATGCAGCCCTAGCCGCACCTCCCATGGCTGTGACTAACACAGCCTGCATGAAAAAAAAATGGCTTAATTTTCAATCACATATTAACTTACTCTAAAAGTTTTTTTAATCTCATGCTCTGTAAATTGAACTTTAATAACACACATAAGGCTCCTGCAAGGTCTAGCAAACTATTAATAGCAGGAGAACAAGAAAATCTAAATTAATCAGACTGCACAATAAAGAAAGTGTAAACATTAGTTGTCTATTTACAGGAAGTGTTTGGGCTGGATGTGCTAGTCATGGGCAGGGAGGTGTGTTTGGACTGCATTAACAGAGTGATTAAACTCGGAAATGGCAGAGAATTGAGCAATGAGACTCAAAAGGCATGATCTATACACCAAACTGCTTCATTAAGCTAAAGATGTTTGGGGACTATAGTGTCCCTTTAATATAGGATGCTACTCTTCAAAGATATAACATCAACATTTAATTTAAAACATACATACATTCCATCCTGTCAATGAATGCTGCTTGAATCATATTTTTCCCAAACCTAACAAAACTCCTGAACTCTTAAGCTCTTATCAAGACATAAAAATGCTATCAAATGTACTTGCAATACAAATATGAAAATGTATATCAATTACCATGCTCCTACATCAACTAGATTTTGTCTCAGTCCTTCTCCTATGAAAACCTAAATGGCAATAGTGGCGCTTGCTGTGGCAAACACCTCCTCAACCCTTCTTAAAGGGACGATCTAATCATCATACAAACTATAGCTTATTGAAACAGTTGTAGTGTAAATATTTGGTAAGTGCTCCCCCCCTGATTTTTTTGGTCAAGCAATATTCAAAAGGTTAATAAGCTCCTCATTTGCCCACACCTATTATTGACATGTAAGATTGGACAGATTTGGATGGCTATGGAAATGCAGAATTTAAATTTCTGCATTATCACATATGCAGCTGAGGGTCCAAAAAGTCCTTGCACCATAACTACTATAATACGTTGAAGGCATTTTGGTACTTAGAATGCCTATATTTAAAATGTTAAGAGGCGTTTGATAAGGTTTCTTGGCTACATATTCCAAGAGTCATAAAAGTAAGAAATATTGACTCTATATATTTGTACATCTGATACAATAATTGCAAACTACCATATCACAGCAATAACAAACAGATAAGAGTTTCCTGGTCTAACCTTAGAACAATGCGTTCAACAGAGATCCATTATCCTGTTCAACGTAGTCTTAGATCTCCCATCACAGAATATTAGAACCTCTGCGTGCACTTGAATGCATATGCTCTGGTACCTGATCTCTGAAATATAAAGCTTTTCCGACAATCTTCTTTTTATAGCTTATCCTACTAAATCGATCTCACCCACACTAGACACAATAAACAGATTGGACGAATAAGCGAGTTTGTCTGAGCCAGCATAATCTCCAACAAATATAATACCTACATTCTATACTATACCTAAGAATATATATTTGCCAAAACTCCTAAACGACCACTACAAAATGAACATGCCTCCATTAAATGGTTATTCTAAGCCCCATTGCTGGGTTTCCCGGCCAGTCTCCTTGAAAAGTGTGGCTTGCAACTGCAGAAATCTGTAAAAAAAAATCACTGTACCACCTGGATCAATTCCATCAAAGGAGGTATTGTATAATTTATTGAACAAGTGATTCTGTGTTTGGTATAAGAACAGTGGGCAGTTGCATGCCTCACGAGTCCCTACCTCCCCCTGAGCCTCAGTATCCCACGTGGGCCAGCAGCCCCTGTGTACATGCAAAATAAAATGTAGCCACCCCATAATTAAGCAAAAATCAATAAAAAAATGTTTTAGATTTAACAGTGTAGAAGTGCAATCATTAAAGGGGCATTATAGTGCCAGAAACACAAATGTGTATTCCTGACACTATAGTTCTAAAACTACCATTTAGGTGGTCGGCCTCTCTTATCTTGGGTTAGAAAGGTGATTTACTCACCTTTTTCAAGCACAGCATGGGGCATTAAAATTGATGATCTCAGCCAATCACAATGCTTTACCACAGAAAAGAAGGCGGGGTTGGTGGTGGAGCCAAACAGCCAATCAGCATCTCCTCGTAGAGATGCATTGAGTCAATGCATCTCTATGGAGAAAGTTCAGCACCTCCATGCAGAGCGTGACTGCCTCTAGAGGTGTTCCTAGGATGTAATGTAAACACTGCCTTTTCTCTAAAAAGGCAGTGTTTACATTAAAATGCCTGCAGGGACAGACTATAGACAACAGAAGAACTTCATTAAGCTGTAGTTGTTCTGGAGACTATCGTGTCCTTTTAAAAAGTATATGATGCATGTCAGCAAGCAAGCAAGCCTAGAGTTGTATGGAGAGCACTACATCACTTATTGCCTTGATATCTATATCAAAGTAAAACCTGAGCCGTTACAGAAACAGTTACATTACAGATCAGCTTGTAAAATGTCTACCAGAAAATAGATGACAGTTTGCTATGTAAATTTTAAATTGTAGGTAGGAAACCCCATCTTTTGGCCAGTGCAGAATAGCTATGTGAAAATAGCCTGCCTCTCTGTTTATTATAAAATCATTTCTAAGAACATTGAGAATTCTCCAACAATTTCTTTGATTTATGTTCAAAAACACATAGGGCATGAAATGATTTCTGCAACCTTACATTTCCCTCAAGAACATCACAGCCAGCGAGATATATTCTAAAACATCATGTTGGATTCTTTCTTGTGTCTCCTTTTTAAAATAAATTTATGATAATCAATTACATACGCTTCAAAGGAACTGCCACTGTATTCCCCATCAGGAAAGCTGCTTGGGAAAAAAAAAACTGTTCTTTCCCCCCCCTACATTTAGGTTACCACAGGGGATTGTGCCCATGCTGACATACAAATTGAAAGAAAATGTGCCAAAATCTGCAAAAAATTACATCTATCAAACGCTTGTTGTGTCACAGGTACTGTAAGAAGAAGTAACCTTTCCTTTTTGTACATGCAGGAGGCTCAGACGTTACGAGATAATGAACTCTAATATCTTATGTTACCTGTCATTAGCTGACAGCGGTCTGTCTGCACTTTTGTCCCCCATTAAAAAAAATGGTCTTAAACATGTATGGTCCTAATTGATAGTAACGCAACTTGCTACTTTAACTTAACCAAAATTATCATGTAAAAAGGGGCGAATTTTCTAAATAATTCAAGAAAAAAGACAAAGGATAGAGTGAAAAATTAAAGGGGCACTTCAGACATAAACACATTTTAGGGGAAACAAGTAGACTAGGTTGCAATCATTTAATTGATCATTTACTGTTTTTTGTTAAATTCGTCTTTTTGTCCCATAAATGCTTCCTTGTGAACTGGTGAAGTGTCTTTACACCTGCTCCACCCAGAGAGAAGAGTCCTCTAAATGCAGAGAAATGTGAAATATTTTTTTTTTTTTTAGAAAACCTTGCAGGAATGTTAAATAAAGAAAATTATTCTCGGTAATAATGAAATAAAACGGGACAGTTCATTCTATTAATTCTACCAGATATGAGAATGGTGAAGCTGTTTGATGCAAGCAACATTAGAAAAACAGTATAAAAAAAATAAAGGAACAATTGTAAAAAATGCCAAAAAATAAAATCCCAAGAACTAGTGGAAGAAACGTAGATGGTCTACTAAATATCGCTCTAGAACATTGGTCTCAGGGTTACCATATAAAAACCCTGTAGTAACACAAAATAAGTGAAAAGAAACAGAATATGAATAAATCTGGAGCTGATATAAAGCAATCAGCTCCTGTTCCAATATCCAGATATCAGCATATTTTAGTTCATTTAATGTATTTTGTGTTAGAAATATTATGATTGCTGGTTCTAGACAGGATTTACCGGAATGCCAGAAAGAGTCAGATACCTGAGATTTCAAACACACACGCTACAATTTACAAAGAATTGAACTTTAAACAAAAAGAGTCATTGAGGTCAGATCAGAATAACCAGATTTGTTTACATTGACAGAAAGGCCACACATAAACAAATAACCACTCAGTATCTCTGAATGTAGAACGTGTGGAACCCTGATGTTTATGGACTAAGGCAGTCGAAGACTGTGCCGTTTTCCACTCCTGACAGTTATGAACAAGACTGCAATGGACTGCGATCCCCACATTGAAATATTGACGATTTGAAAAACACCGGCTGCGGTGGCAAATCTTCATTTTTGCAGATGGCATGGTCACAATTTGACATAAAAATCTACAAATCAATAGGTCGGTCCTGTTGTCAATAATACAACCGCTCCCTAATTCCTAAGCACATTTTTAACTGGCCAGGCCACTTGCTAATGATTCTGATTGTGTACCCTCTAATGAAACACGCAGGAACCATAACCACTACAGCATGAGGTAGTGGTTATGGTGCCAGGAGAACCCTGGCACCCACCCTTCCCCTACTAAGTTGTCAAGCCATTTTAGAACAGAGAGACTTCTTACCTGGAGTCTGTCATATGTCGCTCTCTGTATCTACTACCTTAGCTGAACTGACATTCAAAGCAGCCCTGGAAAATGTTATACCAGCCCTGTAATGCATTGCATCGGTAAAGTGAGCAGATATACAGTTGAGAAGAAAAACTTACTCCAACATGAAAGAGTACACTCATATGACTTTCTAAATAAACCAAATGACTGCTTAATTTTATTTGAACTCTCAAAAACACATAGTGCACTTCGGCTTACCAAAGTGCTTTATGTGATAAAATATGTTCCACCTAGCTTAGCTCCCTGGAAGTAATCGCAAGTGTCAGACGCTTGTCTACCTCGCACCTGCCTTGCAAAGACTGCTCACTAGCTATAATACAGCTCAATGCGAAATCTGTGAAGCCTCACACTTGCTAAATTAGCTGCCTCTGGCCATTACCAGAAACAGTAAAAGTATGTGCCGGGGAAGAGGGTGGGGGCGGCCTATAATATCTACAAATACTAGATCTGCAGCTATTGCAAGTTTTACTTACTGGTTATATCTACTAAATGTATTTTATTTTTTACTTTGTTTGTTTTTTGTTTTCAATAGAGTGTTTCTTTCAAGGGATGATATGGGCACCAAAAAACTTTAGTTTAAAGGGACACTATAGTCACAAGAGCAACTACAGCTTATTGAATTTGTTCTGGTAAGTATAGCATGTCCCTTCAGGCTTTTTGCTGTAAACACTGTCTTTTCAAAGAAAATGCAGTGTTTACATTACAGCCTAGCGATAACTCCACTGGCCACTCCTCAGATGGCTGCTAGAGGTGCTGCCTGAAATGCATCCAAACATTCAGTATCTCCTCCCTCTGCATGAAGACACTGCACTTTCCTCATAGAGATTCATTGATTCAATTCATCTCTATGAGGAGATGCTGATTGGCCAGGTCTCTGTTTGACTTGTGCTGACTCTGTCCCTGATCTGCCTCCTTGACAGTCTCAGCCAATCCAGACCGCAACTTCTGATGATGTCAGCATACAGAGGCAGTTCAGAGACAGACAGAGGCAGAGCCAGGAGCTGCAGACTTGAATTCAAGTAAGATTTTACTATATTTAGGGGAGGTAAGAGAGGGCCAGGGGGACTAGATGGTGTTTTTTTTTTATTATTCTTTATTTTTGTATTGACATAAATGTACAGACATTTGTCAGGTATCAAAATTCAATATACAACAAAAACAGTTTACGAACATTTGTCATTTGACACTACCTAATCTTATAGTACATGACTGGATAATTGTCATACCCATTTCACATATCCAATGTGTGCGGCTCGTATCTGTCTCTACGATTGCTTAAAGATAATCAATACTATTTTTTTAAACTAAGACGTGAAGAAGATAACAAAGGGGAAGGGGTTATTTAGCACTGTGTTATGCCTCGACCTGTATGATCCCGCCGGGACTACTGAGACTTAGGTCCGTGTCATATGTCATCTGATGCAGTGTCTGAGCTCCATATCTGCGTGTTTTCCAGTTGGGTATCTCTTCGGTCGCGCATCAGCACGCTAGTCTTTTGCATATCCTATGGTGGCTACTTGAAGTCGCTCTCTCCATAAGTGGAGAGCACTTAGTATGCCCTCTTGGTGTTCCATTCTGTGGTGCCATCTTTAGCCTGTGCTAGCTCTTCCCCTGAAGAACATTTTAGAGAAGTAATGAAGGATAGGAAAGATAGGAAAAGCTGGGACAGAAAGAGGGGGTGGCATGGTGTGGGGTAGGGGGCGCTCGATGCGTAGGGTAATTAAGTTGTCTGGCTGGTCGCGCTCGTGCCTAACTTCCCAGGGTGAAGTTTTCCCAAGGTTGCTAGATGGTGTTTTTAACATAATAGGATCAGGAATACATGTTTGTGCTCCTGACCCTATAGTGTTTTTTTAATGAAGCATAAATCCTGCCTTTGCAATCTCACTGCTCACTGCAACAAAGTGTGGGAGAGATGCAGGGTTATTCACTAAACACAAATTTTTTGCAGAAAATCCAAGTTGTAAAATGTAGTCAAAACAGCCAAGCTGTGACTTACCTTGAGTTGGAGAATTGTTTTCTCCAATTTAGCTATTTTGGCCTAAATTATACTTTTTGGATTTTAAATTTATGCAACTTAAAGTTTAGTGGCCAAAATATAATGTATGTTCTGAGTACATTATCAGGGCTTACAATGTGAAGTCCTATGCTAATATATTCTAGTAACCAGGCCTTAAAATTTACAAAAGTTGCTCAAGTTTCTCTCCACTGCAAGGTATAGCATACTTACCTGGGATGAATTTCTATACACCGGTGCTAACTTTTCACTCACCAATAGCTAGTAGAGAGCTTAAATCTTGAGCACTGATATTATGAATACATGCATGTATATTAATTGATGTGTATTCTATTATATGATGCACACATATATATATATATATATACGGTGACTGACACAAACACTGGTACATACACG